GGACCATCTGAAGTTTGGTCAGGTTGTGTGTGGGTGATGGGAATGTGAAAAATAAACTTGTTTATATGGAATAAGTGACCAACTGACTGGGTTTTGTGGCAGTGGAGTTAAGGACAGGGCAAACGGAGGAAAACATCATGGAAATGCAGCAAATATTTATTTCTGTGGTTCTGATTTGTAAAGTCTGTCTTGCCACCATTTGGCTGTTGCTCTGCTCCTCTACGGTCCACCTCGCCACTTTTTCCCTGTCTGGGTTCACAACAAGAAACCGAACTCAACAAATGTTGTCGTAGAAGGTTTGTGTCAAATTCTGTTCTGCAGAAGACACATTTTCTGACAACCAGCAGCTGCTTCGTGAGTTTAGCCAGTCTTGGCTTTGATTTCTAAATATTTGAATTTTTTGTTGCATAAAAAACAGTTATTGCTAAATACTGCGGTTCAAACGTGAGAGCACTGCAACTCAGTTACGCACTGTAATCTGTAGTCTTTTGAATGAACCTGATGCAGAATGATCTGATGTTTTCATTCACTGGTCTGAAACAAATTCATTCCTGGAGTTATTTTTGTTCAAGCAGGGGAAAAAAAAACATCCAAGGTTGTTGGTGTGTGAGGAGTTCAGGGATTTGAGGAAGAGGAGGGAAAACTGAACCAACGAACTCTGCAGTTTCCTGGAAGCGGGTCAAAAACGATCTCCTGGGTTCTCCGGCAGAAAACGGGTCCAAAAGCAACAGTGATGGTTGAGATTTAAACAAGCTGCTGGCGACTCTAAACACCTATCACAACATTTTAGACAGAGTCAATTGAGAGAGATGACAGAGACTAAACATGATTCATTAAAAGCATAAATAAATTTAAAAATAAGTCAACACAGATGGATTTAACATCCTGAGCAGAACTAGATAAAGAAAACAGGCAATAAAGTAACTCTATAGTTCTAATTACACAAATATCCTTTCATTTTAAAAGTAACTACATGTAGTTTTCATGAAGCTTTAATAAAAACTAATTTAGTGACTCATTTCCTCTACGGACGCTGCAGTGACTCAAACTCTTAAAAATGACCTAATCTGCTTTTTTATTATTACTCAGCTGTTTTACTACAAAAAGGTCAATAAAGCAGCGTTTTATTGGCCTTTGCTGGTTGCAGACTTGAACTGCTCAGATGTTTTTATGACCACTGTAACTTTTAACTGGTAAATACAGTATTTGTCAAACTGAAGCAACAGATGGAGACTATTTATAATCTAGAATTGTCACTGTGTTTGATAAATCTCTGTTCTTTCTTCTCTTTTCTATCATCTTACAACTTTCATTCAGTTGGGACTCATAAAAACAACTGCTTTTTTATCATCCTGCAGTCTGTCTGAGCTATTAACTCAAACATTTGTAGTGGGTTTAATAAAAAAAAGTGCACTCTTGAGTAAAGGCAAGGCATTTGCTTTACATCTACTTAAAGTAAATATAAAGTAAATACATTACCTCTACTCATTTCAGCTGAGTAGAACCAGTTGACATAATTTTTAAAATTAAATTCATCTGTTCTGTTGAGTGAAGTTCTGCATCTTTAAAAAAATCCCCTGAAATTCATGGGGTTTGTTAGAAATCACTGCTGTGAAAGATGGGTGATCATGTAATTCCATCTGTTTGTGTGTCTGTTAGTGAAATGTCTCATCGGCAGCCGATTAACTTTTGGAGTCTGCCTGCACAAGATGGCKACCACAGCTAATTGACTTTAACTACAGAAATGTATACTTCAGTCAGATTAACAGACACGCAGTTAAAATTTGGTGTGTACTTCACGTACTAAAAAAACAGTGCAGGATTATTGTGTTAAAAGTTTGGGATTCAAGGAAGTTGTTCACATGCATTTTTACAGCCTTTATTAATAAGCAAATTTTATTTCTGCAGCATCTTCCACAAACATCACAAATGGCTTCACAGAGATCKAAATAACTGAAAACGACCAACAACAGTGAACCAGAATACAATCAAAAACAATTTAAAGAAACAAAAATCAAAACGTAGAAACCTGTCTGAATAAAAATGTTTCTTAAAAAATTCAAATGAAATTCTGTGGATGAATTTTTAAAATATTTCCTGTCATCCGTCTATGGAGTACAGCTGAATCTATTKCGAAGTACATTATCTCAGATCTTGGTGGGGGGTTGTCATCACATTTTTGTGGTTCTGTGGAAAATGATCTCCATCTTCACAAGCTCATGGTGTGTTTTCTGCAGAATTAATTAAAGATCTGGATTACTGTCACTGTGAACCATTTAGTGCCTCAATTCTTAAAAGAGAAGGCAACACAAATTAAATTTGCTTGCATTGCGGTGAAGTAACAGCTGAGCACAGAGGCTCGGTGGTTGAGTTTCGGCATGTTTCGGTTCTTACGCTGAAGCATTTCACACCCGGGCAGTGATCTGTGGAAACTCTTGGTAAAGTTTTAGTTACTGGCAGAGACAGGAAACTGCTGCATCCAGTTAATAAGTGAAATTTGTTGAGATTATTGTTTCTTCTAATCTGCAATGCTGACATGTTAAACAGTCACAACAAGTTCTAAAGTCAAAATTATTATTATTATTATTATTATTATTATTATTATTATTATTATTATTGGTTATAATGAAGTTTTGTTCCTCTTGTAATAATCTGAGTGACATTGGCTTTGAAAGGCAAAAGACTCCCACCTCACTGAGCATCCTTCACATTCAGTCTGATTCTGAAACATATGTTAAACTGGGAAATAGGATTTGGAGAGACTGTCATTCAGGGKAAGATGTTTATATATTGGATATAGTCAGCCAGTTATAAAGAAATATTTCTGCATTAGAAAATTAACYTTTTTGTCCTCACTTGTGTAATTAAATTAGACACAACCTGCTTTTAAATCATCTTTTCCACATTTAAATCATTCAAGTGGAGCTGCAATGCTTTGATCTGAATTCCTCCTTGTTGTAACTCCACAAGCCCCTCTTTCACCCCTTTTCTGAGGTGTGTCTGATCAACTCATTTTGAGGCTGTCTCTTCAATCCAAACAAGGCACTTCACACCCCGCACCCCCTCCAGCTTCAAGATCGGTCCAGTCCAGCTTGATGTCACGACTATATAGCTGCTCAGAAGCTTTTTATTTAAATATTAATGAAAAATTGTCATAAACAATTTGACATAATAGTTCAGAAAACATCATAGAAAATAGAGAAAACTGAACGGGTTGAAAAATATGACCCAGAATATAAAGAWATTTACGCAGCATCCAAAAAGAKTAAATTKAACTTTTCTGCACTCCTAGAAACTCCAAGTACAACGAAATGCATTTAACAGCTAAAAAAGTATATTTTACAWGATATGTCCCCATTAATGTTGCATTTTTTCCCACCTACAGTATTTTCACATTTTCCACATTTGACCTATTCTCTATCACTTTTGGGAAACACAACCAAACCCTTTGAAACTCAAAACCCTGTCAGCGATGTGATGACAATACATGACCTTCTCATGACTTAACAAGCAAAGCTGATMAAATCTGATATTTCATTTCCTCCAAGTTAAAGTCTTTACTGCTCTGCCAAAATCCGCTGCTCTGACCTGAATATTTAGGGTTTTTTTTGTAGATTATTTAGACTTTGAACAAATCCGTTCAATTTGAAAGAGATCTCCAGGAAAGCTGGTCTTGTTGAARTGACTCACCTGCCTGGGAAAAGTATGTCCACAGAAGCTTTGTTAAATTACATCAATGTTTAACGTCACCTGATGTGTTTATTTGCACAGACGCATTGTTTGCATTTATTAACTTCCAAACTGAAGGGGAGGTTTGACACAATGAGAAGTGAAGTTTTCTCTTTGCAAAACATTATAGTTTTTATCTGATTTTACTGAAAATTRGAGGTAAAAATGACTTTAAGGTCATTAAAATTTACAACGCAAGAAAACTGATTAAAGTCTTAATAGTGTTACTATTTGCACATGCTCATATGTGTGTATTTCTACTAAAAACAATGAGAAGTTTTTGATTTTGTGAACCAAAATTCCCTCATTGTAACAAAATGCTGCACAAAATCCTCAAAATTAAACTCAGCTGGAAAAAAAAACTTAAAATTTCTGAAAAGCAGCTTTCTTTTTGAACACAGTTGTTTATTATCTGTGCTCAGCTTGTAAAAACTGTTGTATTTCTTCCCTCTGGATTTGGGAAGAAATTTGTGTTGCTTGAGAAAATAAATAGCTCTTTTGTTGCCATGTCAACGTTATCAGGATCATTTTTTTAAATGTGCCTTTTTTATATAATGGGTAGAATTAAGTTTGTTTAATGAAGAGTTTTGGAGTAAAACCAAAACTTGCTCTGAATTTCCCACACAGGCTCTTGATCCGTGGACGAGGAGGGCGAGTCAAAAGGTCAGGAGAAAAATCTGACGTATTGGGCCGATGCTGTAAAATTTCTGAAACTGGAAGAATAATTTGTGAAAGATAATGTTGATGCTGTCATTTTTTTATTTGTATTATTCAGGAATCAGGTTTTTAACCGCTGCCTTTTTTTTGAAGGAGCATTTAAACAGAAAAAATCGAGTGGTTGAAAGTATTTCTTCTTATTTTATTTTATTAGAAACTTATAACGTGCTGCAGCTCCTTATCAGATGGTTTATGTGTAATTCTCTGTGGCACCTCTGGGTCATGCTGTTTTTTAACATCTCCTTTTAGAAAACGTTATAAACATTTTTTTGTCTAGCTAACTAACTTGGCTGATGTATGACATTCTCAGATGATTTTACAGCTTTGATGAAAGTTCAAACCCACCTCCACATGACTTTTAACTTTCTTTTTAGCTGAGCTCTTTAAGTTGACGAGTTATTTTGGGAGAACGCCACCAAAGATCCTGTCCTTGWGGAAAACACGTGACCTCTGAAGCTCTCAGTGAAAAGGGAAAGCGCTGTGGATGGTCTAACCTTTTTAATGATGCCTCTCCAGTTCTTTAAGAGTTCCCATGCATGTGAGGCTCCCAGCGGATGTTAATATATCACCAGCGAGTCTGCAGCCTGACCTTTGACCTCGCAGTTTCAAGCTTTAGGGACGAGCCAATCAGCTGGGTCAACGCAGAGACGCACAACCGTCAGGTGAGGTGGATGAAATATTTTAAAGGTTTGTTTTATTAGTGCTTCGACAGRCGTAAGGACGAATCCTTATTTTTTATCTTTCAGCCTCCAGCTTCAGWCGTCACGCTGCTGATTTCCAAACACACAACATGATGGCTGAGACAACACAAACGGCTGAGAGTTCTCCTGTCCCGGGCCAGGCTTCTGTCAGAACCGGGCTGACCTCCAGAACAGCAGGTAGGATTATGTTTTGGCTGCTCCTCCTCAGAAAACAGAGAAGAGTTCTCTGAGTGCTGCTTGAGTAGATTTGCCTCTGACGCAGTAACTACTGACTCTGGTTCTGGTTTTGCCGTCAGTGACCCATCATTGACCCAAATATTTCCTAAAGGAATGCTCATCACTGCCACCATTTTCTGCTCAATGTGATCATCTTATGAGGAGAAGTGATGGAGTTTTAGCTACTTTGGTCAAACTTTGAAAACACTTGTTCTCATGACATATCCTTGTGTGAGCTTTTAGTGACTGGACTTTGTGTTGTGATTAACTCTCAGCTACTACCACACAAAATATTAGCTGAARATCTGTAAAATTCTCTGAGGTACAGATAGTTTTGTGCAGTGCCTGTGACATCCAATTTTTGTTAAAAACACGAATGCATTTTTGGAAAGATTGCACTGATAACATTTGGATGAACAGTCYTTGAGATATTCACATGAGACATAACAGGAAGTGATGTCAAAGGGGAATGTCTTCATGTGAACTTAGCGTTGCTTTAATGACTAACGACACAGACTGTGGAAATGAATCTGATGTTTCTTTAGAGTGTTTTGAGACGACAGAATCAGAGATCAAATAATATTGTTTCAAACAAAAACCAAAGAATTCCCCTTTGATGTCACTTCCTGTTTCACTGAGCCAAGTTCAAAGGAAAATATGCCCAGAGTTGTAAAGTAACTATAAATACTTTGCTACTGTACTTCAGTAGAAATTTTGGTTATCTGTACTTTACTTGAGTAATTTTTTTTAACTTTTACTCATTACATTTTTACACAATTATCTGTACTTTCTACTTACATTTTTTAAAAAGGTAAAAAGTAGAAAGTCGTCACTCCTATTTTATTCCGAGTTGGTATTATAAAAAAATACTATCCTGATAAATTGTGTCTCCAGGATAGAGTGAATTTAATTGTAGTTGGATGAGAACTATAAATATATACCATTCTGACACCATTTTAGCTCATACACAACCAATCACAGCTGCACACCATTAGAAAAAATGTTTTTTTGTAGAAGTCACCCCCAAATAAATGTCATTTTGGGAAATCTAAGTGCTCACTTTTACTCAATACTTTTACTTTTAATACTTTTTGTACTTAAATACAAAAAATATCAGATACTTCAAGGT